GCTCCTGCAGCCTCCCCTGCACGAGGGCGGGGGGCCGTGACGGACCGCCCGCGGGGTGCACGGGAGCCCGGCCGGGTAACCGGACAGCCTGATGACCAGGACACGCCCTGGAAGGAGTGTGGCACTTCACCAGCACAGCGCGTGAGGCCCATCTCTGCGGCTGTTTCAGTCGCCTCCGAGACGGTGCAAGCTCGGGCGGGCCCCGGCCCCTGTCAGGGAGAGGGCCTGGGCGGCACAGATGCTCGGAAGGACACGGGGGACGGCGGCGGGGGGGCAGCCCGGCCTTGCACCACTTCGTATAGGAGTGACCTGTGCTGCTGTCGGCCCGCCGCCCGCCAGGTCACAGTGCTGCCTGAGGAAGGTGTGACTGTCTTCAGTTTACAAACAGGTCAACATCTCTCAGCCCACAGGCAGGACCAGTAATGGGGGAGGGGGGGGCAGCCACCACGGGGTGTGTGAGAGAGAGAGAGAAGAAAGGTTTCACGGAGAAGCCGGTATCTGGGCAGAGGCAGGGGGCCAGCAGAGGGAGGACCTGTGCTTGGAAGACCGAGGCACCCTGAGCCAGCCTGGGGCAGGTCCCAGTCCCGGAACGGCATCAGAGCCTCGTGGGGCTGGGATTTGGGTCCAGCTCTGACCCCAGAGCCCTGCATTTAGGGTTCTGCTGAGCCTCCTGTTTGCCGGTCAGGAGGGCTTCGTGGACTGCGGCCTCAGAGAGCGGAAGTGGAGAAGGGTAAGGTGTCCCATGCCGAAGGCAGGTCGTGTCAAAGCCAAGAGCTGCCTGGCACAACCAGGTGCGGGCTCAGTGCTGGGGCGCGAGGGAGAGGGACTGGGCGCTGGCTGCACCCGCAGGGAGCGCTGGCGGGTGGGTGATGCGCCCGAGGGGGCTAGTCCCTGAGCTGCTTGGACGCCAGCCCTCGGCCAGTCCAGGTGTGGCGCCAGCTCTGCCTACCGAGGAGCATCTGGTCGCTGGCAAGGGGCTGGCGGTAGTGGGAGCCGCTGAAGTAGGAAACCGAGTGGTTCGGGAGGGAGCGGGTGACAGGCGTAAACCATCTGCGGATATCAGGAAGAGCGTGGAGCGCCTGCGACAGGCAGTGAGTGCAGGAAGGGGAGAGCCAAAGGTGCCGCTCACATGTCTGGGTGAAGGGACAGCTGGGTGGCTGTCCTTGAGCCCCGGGGCAAGCGCTGCAGATTTGGGAGAAGATGGGTTCAGATTCCAGGATGGCAGGGTGGGGTCCCGCCGCTCCGTGGCCTGTTACTCCTCCGGGGTGCTGGCGCTCCGGACGCCCGACCCCGGCAGCGCTGCCCCTGGTGTGGAGACAGCTAGCCAGCACCTAAGGAATCAGAAAGGGGCAGGCCACGAAGGTCGGTGCAGGAGGCCCTGTGAAGATGAGGTGCGGAGACCTGGCCGCTGACCGCCCAGGCCCTCGGGGGCTGTGAAGGCCACGTGGCCAGAGCCTTACCCC